CTGATTTAAATTCAAAACGGCTTTCAATGATTTTACAAGGTTTTTTATTATACATACTCTTCTCATGTTTGAATTAATAATTAACCAAACCAAACAATTAACCAAACAATTAATCAAACAATTGATCAAATATTACTAATAAAACTATCTTAATCACACAAATAGAATTATGTAAAACATTTTCAAGTTTGAAAAAATCCACGCAAACAGTAATGGCAGTGATATTACGAAAGGCAATTTGGAACTGGATCAAATCGTTCCCCGCAGAATTCGTGGCACTTTGTCAATCACAGAGAAGTATGGAGGGCGGTCCCGAAATACTATTTGACATTTGTTATAGTCTATCCGAAGGTAACCAAAAGCGCAGAATGGTGTTTTGGCCATTACAAACAATGCTTTTGATCCTCTGCCCGGATATTTTACGAAGTGCCGTAACGGCCGATCGAGGAACGGCTGTATCGTTTTTGGAAACCCTAAAAAAATCATTACGAAAATCTACTTTTGCAGAAGTTGCTGCTATTTGCTACGTGGACATTTGCAAAGCAGCAACCTATGTATCGAAGAGTGATTCTTCGGCGTTACGATTAATTGTTCCAGAGATTGCAAATGAATTGAAGGAAAAATTGTTTAATCCGAATCAACCGTTCATTACTGAGGCGCATGTTGATCAACGTTTAATGACCGACTGTCTCACTGCATTGTTTCATTTGAACCCACGTAATGCATTGCATTCGATCATTCCTGTTTGCTTGCAAAAAAATGCACCAAACGCTTTTAAATTGGTTTTGGTGAAAAGCTGTTTTGCTCTCGCATCCGAGGAAAATCGATTACCATGGAACCCAGATATAACTTCAATGTATTCGGTTCTTGTGTCGCCATTACGCGAAATATTTCAAGACCATGCAAAGAATCAGAGTTTTGGTCCCATAAAGAAAACCAAAAAAATGATGGAGGAGGCAAATGAAAAAACAGAGATTATATTGAATATCTTAAATTTGTATAAAACTGATCCATCATTGGCCCTTATGGTTTGTTAATTTTTTATTCTTTTAATTTCATATTACATGTATTCCTTATTAATTCTTTATCTGCTTTTTAACTTAGCAAAATGATTCTTCTGAACCATCAGACGAGATTGGAACAATCGTCTGCATTACTAATTGTCTAAATAATTCTAGTCGAGCAATTCGTACAATTGCTGCAGAAACTTTATTGGAATTACATAAACCTGACTACATTGAAAAATGGGGATCACCGCAAAATAAAATGCGTAATTTCTGGTATTTAAGTTCGCAAGTGACGTTAACGGTGGCACGACAAATTATTGAATCAAAGGAACGAGAGGAAGGCGCAAAATACATGTTAGAATTGTTACATCAGTTGCTTATTAAACGAAATGAATTCCTGAAAGCAAATCGAGAGGTGGCAACTGTTGAAATCAACGTTCCAGAAAGAGCTAAATCCAATGTAGCATTAGAAAAAGCGTTATTAGTGTTGTTATGTTCAGCTAATATAGAAATTTGTTCGATTGCGATCGCTTGTATCGGGCATTTATGCACAGAAGCGCAATTGACCGAAGCTTTAGATGAACTACCTTCTCAATTATCTATCATTGAGAATATAGATGTTTATTTAGAGTTGTCCTCCCCAAATTACATGGTTACGGGACGCATGGCGCAACAAAAACGTACACGTAAATTATTACGATTAATGAAAAATCCTACTCGTGGAAATCTCGCCGCATGGGAAGA